CCACTGCTTCAATCTAGATTTCAGCTTTCACTGACAGCCTGAGGTTCAAACATAGACCTCTCCCATGACCTGCCATGGTCTGATAGTTAATAAAAGAGATATGGTTTCAAAACTTACTCTCTTGGACTCAGCAGTTTTTTCATCAGCAAACACTACACTGCTCCTTTTTGTCTTTTTACGAGACCTTCGCAATTTTACTTCAGTTTCACTTGATATAGGAACTGGACCCACTTCAATTCCTTGAGGTTTTGATTTGGCCACTGCCACTTCGAGGTCAAGGCTACTAGAAAGTAAATGGTATAATGATTAACATGACCATTCCACAACAATGTATTTAAAATACCTTTTTCATAAATCATGAACATTATATCATGTTATAACATCAGAATAGGAATGAAAATACATACTACAGTAAATTTTGATAATGCAATCACAGCTTACTTGAAAAAAAAAATCTCTTTCACTTAGTGAATGCTGCCTTCTGTCTGCCCATCCTTTCCACAACTTCCTGGATTCCCATTGTGCTTTGCATCTCTTTCCCTGCTGCTTGATGTGATGCAATCTTGATATCTCAAGACTACATAGCCCACAATGCATTGCTTCCATCAAGCAATGATAATGCTAGATTCTTCAGACGTTGAGTTGTATTTCAGAATGCAGGCTTTGAGTTGTGCACAAGGAAGTGCATATTCGCAGGGCCGAGTGAAATTGTATCATTGCACTAAGGAAGTACATTCTATGGGCATTTTAGTCTAAGTAAGTTTACAAAATTCTAGATCTTAATGGTTATTAAGAGTGGCATAGAACTTCTGAAAATTCAAAATATAAATACATATTTATTTTTAGTTTTTGGTCATAGATATCATGTAAGTATATTTCTAATGAGTTCTTGAAGGAAATCCAAGAGTCTAAAATGTTGTGGAGGAGGTAACTCTGAGGTTCTAAGAGATGAGAGGTGGGGTGTAATTCTGGAAATCCAAAAGTGGATTTCAAACCAGGAAGAAGAAATGCATGGGCATGTCCACCATATGTGAAGAATGGAAACCAACTTCAGATTTACAGCATGAACCCTTATCAGGTGCTGTAGGGTATTTCTTACAAATCCTATTGGGGTGAAATACCACCTTGATAACATTTTGTATGCAGACCTTTCAGTTTTCAAACTAGTGGAGCATTTGTGCCTTAATATGCATATACATTCCAGTGTCCGTGGACAAGAGAAGGCCTACCACGTGCCGCCTATGAAGATAGTGGATAATATGTAATGCTTTAATTGTGTTATCATTGCCTTCCCTTCAAGGATTAAAGCCTACTTGTTCTAAGCTAATTTAATTAGAAAGAAAATGTACCATCTGTATTTAACAGATATAGGGTCATAATTAGAGCAAGAGGTTGGGTCTTTACCCTGTGGGCTTCCAGCATGGACGGGTATAATGAAAAAAAAACAGAACTGATCAAGTTAAAGACTTTAGTGAAGTGTGCGGTAAGAATGGCAGGCAGAGCTGTGAAATCATCTGGTCCAGGACATTTGCTGGGTTTCTTTCACAAAATTTTTATTAGGTTTAGAAAACAATAACCATGCGCAGGATATAGGTAAAGAACAGCTGGTGCAGCAGCTAATCCATATCCGTTAATGCAAAACAAACAGCCAGCATATATTAAAACAACTGATATAGCAACAGCGACATAGGTAAGACAAAATGGGAGGCAGTGACATTACAAGATGCCCTCGCATTTCCACCAAATCCAGAGCTCATGCAAATACCTCCAATTTTAAAGACATCATGGGATGGTAATCCCAAAGGACATAGGCCCTTAACCTGTGATAAACAAAACCCTGGTGCACGGGTATTAAATCCTGGAAAGCCAGGGAAAAAAACGTAACTTTACTTAAAGTGATGTAAACAATATACAAAAGGGGGGGAGGATGGGGAGGAGGAAGAAGGGGAGAGGTCTAAAACCCAAAAAAAGGAAGAGGCAGAGGAGAAAAGAAAGGAGAAAAGGAAACTCGGACCACAGAAGTTAGCCTGAAAAAGAAAACCGGAAAGTAAACTAAAAATTGTACACAAAAAGAGAACCAAGAGAAGAAAAGGTCGAGTGGGCATTCTCTTACAAAGTGGGATGGCTCATTTACCATGTTTCATATGGAAAAGGGCCTTGGTAAATTCAGAGATCAAGATGGGGCTCTCAAGAGATGCAGGCTCTGTCTGATTAAGTTTAGGCATTTTACTTTGTAAGTTTAGGCATTTTACTCAAGCACCAGTCTCAGTGGCCGCACACGTAAGGCGCGACGTGCGGCTCCTCCCCCGCCAACTGACACATTAAAGCCGCAGGGGGATGATTGGATGGCGTTCCACTAATGGAGCTGAATGGCGTGCTATTCCCCAACTGCAATACACACCAGGACTCTCTGCCATCTCCAGATTGTCAGCACTAGATGCTGGGACCTTGCTGTCAGTTTCCTCCAGGAACGCTATGATCTGCTCTTCCGAGATTCCAGGGGACAAACCTTCTCAAAAAACTGCAAGTAACCTTAATCCACTAAGGACTGGTTGTTATCTGCTGTCATACAACTTTGTAATCTTGTGGAGAAATTCATTGAACTAGATACGTCATCATAACCCATGCCTGTTGCTATGTCAGTGTGTCAAAACCCATGTTGCTGTGATTGAATATGGGAAGTTAAGGTATCCTGATTGTGAACTACAAGATACATCAACCCTCTTTGAGTCGGGGTTCCCAATACTGTTTAGCAAGAGATTTTGATCGTACTTGAGTCTTCAGTTTGCACCTAACCAGGTCGCATTACTATTAATATTGTATATGCTGTGATCAGTTACATAGTGCAGAGCATATTAAAAAAAGGGGAAAGGGAAAGAAAGGAGCTTTTCGGTGACCTACTCTACTCTCTCCGAACTAAAACCCTGCTGCACGCCATCACACCGCACGATATCGTGCGGTGTGATGGCGTGCAGCAGGGTTTTAGTTCGGAGAGAGTGGGTCTATGCCGGTTGATGTTCCGTATGGTGGGGTGGTGAGCCTCAGTTCAGTCCCTGGCTACAATGGTATGTATACAGCTTAGTAAGATACACTATATTCATATATGTACTAAGTAGCTTTTGCCTGTCTTTCCAATCTGCCCGAGATTTACTGTTAGCACTAACAATTGATTTAAATAAGTTCAATAGTTCTCGTCTGCAAAGGCTGGGAGTTACACCTTGCAGTGACTGACCAAAGAGATATGGATACATATATGCCAATCAAGTTACAAAAAAGTATCAATAGGGCAATTGGTTAGATACAATACAAGAGCACTTATCCATTGTGACTATATGGATCACAATAACCTTACACCTTTTTTTCACTAGGTATATACTGAGGCTCACTCAAGTCCCCTCTATTTCGGCCACCTATATTTATCCTATCTCTCTCTCTGCTCCCTGGAGGTACGAGGATTTATCTCCGGATCAGTGGACAGATACTGCCATATGCCGGAACAATTGGTATTTACCTTCTATTATTGTATCGGTACTAGATATTTCAATATTGCATTTATTTTGGAGTTAAATTAATTTATGTTTGATTGATAGAGAAATATCACAAATTATCTCCCAAAACTTTCTGAAGAAGCCGTTTGGCGAAACGCATCGAAGACTGGAGCAAGCAGAGAATCATAGCTGAATTAATGATATGTAGAATATTTATGTACAATTAATCATTGAAATAAGATATGGATACAATGAGAGCAATGACCAATATACGAATTGATAATCATGATTTTTGTGTGGGCTCCAGGGAGGTTATTTATGTTGTATACATCTATTTATGATTTTTATCTGGATGAATTTTAATATATATGTATTGACATTAGGAATCTAGTTATTAAAATGAAATTTTATTATATCTAAGAATCTACTGACCTTATTTTTGGATCAATTCCCCGGTATTCTCTAGCGGTCACTGAAAAGCCCCTTTCTTTCTCTTTCCCCTTTTTTTGATATATTTGTTTGTGTAATGGTTCCTAACCTATGTAATACATAGTGCAGAGCACTTAAGATATTTAATCCCATGTTACGCACACTCCTCTAGGGTGTATGAGGTAATATGTCTGTGGAGTCGGTGAACGGTGAATGATGTAAAACAATTCCTAACCCTCCTTCACAAATGTGCAGAGTACCTCCTTGGAATTCTAACCTCCATGTTTTACCTACTTGGTCATAACCCAGACTGTATCTGCATAGTGCCACTCTACCCATTTTCCCTTTAACGTGAGTGTCTATATTTTTCAATATTAAATTTCAATATTGGAATTGACTACCGAATAACCGTCACTAAGACTGGGTACTGTGGTGAGAGTGGATTGAGCCCCCCAACGTACCTAAGGCCTCTCCGCAGCTTTGATCCTCCAGAAATAACATAGACGGTGTTACAATAAGCGATCAATTTGCATGTTTATTCTTACTTCCACCATTAAAGTCATTTTTTCCCCTCCCCCAATGTTAATGAAAGCACTTACCTTAAATTATGTTTCTTAATCCGATCTTCTTCTTTCCTGTCGTTTTCATCTGTCCCTCCAGTGCTGCGGCGGGTCTCCGATCCAGCGCTGACTCCTCTGAGCTTGCTGGCACTTTCTGTCCCACGGTGTCTGCATGCAGGTGCACGCGTCCATAGACTTCCCTTGTGTCTCTCCTCGCGTTCCGGCCGAAAATTTGAACTGCGCATATGCTCGCCCCAAGATGCTTTGCGGCCGCCCAAGGATCTTCACATTTTTGGACGGGAGCGCGCAGTGAAGACACAGGTAAGTATTAACCTCTGTTACAGCGTTTTTTTTGTTTCTTTTTACACTTTTGCTAGCAGTAGATATATGCAAAAAAAAACGGGGCTTTAATTATCCTTTAACTGTCTACTTGCGGATGCCCAAGGCAGAGCTAAACTTACATAAAGGTTGTTTGCTTTAAACATTTGGGAACTATAGAGATTGAATAAGTGCATTACAGCATAGAATTAATTGTTTATTGCTCCTAGCATTGAAAATATTGGACCAAACATGGAAGTTAATTAAATGCCTTACTTGTTCTCACCATTCTGCAGTTAAAGCACAGGCTTAAGACAAACTGAATGTAAACACAGTAATCTTAGAATGACCTTGATCACTGATGGCAGCTCTCACAGAGAAAGGAACACATAGTAATCAGTTGCATTTGCTCGATATCCATGGGTATATTTAAAGAGCTACCTTTACAGTAATCCTTAAGGTGAGAGAGCAAGTCACCATTTCCTGCAAAACACCAAGAAGCAGAACCCATGATTAGAGGCAGCAAGAATTTTGACTAACCTTTCTGTGACAGTCTTGATAGGAGTGCTGCATTCAGATCCAATTGAAGACATGGAAATAACAGACATCTGGCGATAAGATCTTAGCATGGATCTTGGTCTTCCAACTCGGCCATCATCAATGTCAGGCTGCAAAATATTTTTGCTGTCAGATTTACCACAAAAGTAAAATATACCTATTTTAGGAAAGTGACTGAGGAAGGAATTGGTTTACACACTTTATGTTGCCCTCCACAACCAGTTATATTCTCCCTTTTTCTCTCTAATACTGCAATGAGAGAATCTGCTATGGGGTTAGTAATAAACCTGGTGATGTGGCACTATAAGAAAGCTGAAGGTCAAACAATGTATATTACAAATATTTGTAAAAGACAGCTGGTGCTTTTTTGTGTGGTACATTCCTGTTTGTTTTTTTTCAAATAAATCAATTGACAAGGGTAGGTCAATTCACTTGTCTGAAAACTGGGCAGCTTGAAAATGGTTCTGCTACACTGAAGATATACTGTATACCTATGCCGTATTTTATTTCTTAAAATAGTACATTTTCTAAGTTTAAACATTTGATTTGTTGTTTTTTTTGCTGTGAATAAAATATGGGTTTATGAGATTTGCAAATCATTGCATTCTGTTTTTACACAGCATCCCAACTTTTTGGGAATTGGGGTTGTAAATAAAGACAGAATCTCCTTATCTATCCTATCTATTTCCTTTTTAAATTCCAAAATTAATAATTACATCATATATTGAGGTTATTCTCCCACTGAGTTTCAAACTCTTCTGTCATGTTCCTAATTGTGGTCAAAATTTAGACCCTAAGGCCAAAGGGATTATAACCCTCATCAATATACATTTCTAGAAAATCATATTTGCCAGAAATGCACAGATTTCAGTTTTTATGTAATTTTTACACAGCGTCCCAACTTTTTTGGAATTGGGGTTGAACAGAACTGCACTTATAAATCACAAATTGTTTTCAAATAAAGACCATTTGGAAAAATAGCTATTTGTAAAAATACAATCGATACAATTAGGGATGTTCAGATACCAAGTACATGACCAGATACTTTTCCAGCTCCAAGACTGGACTAGAGAAAAATTCAAAAGTGAGGAGGCAGCTGCCATTTTTAAGGAGCATACGGAGCTCTTGGGATTTGTACATCCATTTTATTGTATGATTTTATTTTTTTATAAATGTATATAAGGGATTCACGGATACCATTTTTTCAAGTACAAGTACTGATACTTGTCCAAGTACTCACAGATACAAGTACTGATACATTTTTGTTTATTGTCATGTGACAGTTTTTCTACAACAATACAGACTAATGATTTCAGGACAGTGGTGGAGCGCCAGAGCTAGGTCCCAGCTGCAAACGCTGCAAACCTGGTAGTTCTTGTGAAAATGCCAAGTATCGGCACTGGTATCTGAACATCCCTAGATATAATGTAATATATCAAAAATACATTCTCCAGAGATAGGACAGCCTTTCGTGAGGGCCATGCCTATCGATGGATTAATAATCAACATGGTAGGCTAAGCAATCAAGGGAGGAACAAATATGATATGGATGTTGTAATTTCTGATATCTCCTCACATGCCTCTTTTCCTCAAAGATTCACCAGGATCACACTCACACATCTACCCAATCGGGAAATAAATGGCACAAAGGTAATACACACTAGTGAGGAAGAGGTGTTTGAATAGACAGAAAACTATTGATTCGGTGAGATCAACAAAGGATGTTACAAGTATTACCCAAAGTGGTGAAGGTACACATACTTCAGTTTCAAACATAGATGGTGGTGGGGAGAATGCATGTACATTCAATTGGCCATCTAGCGAGAAACCATAGTATCACAATAAAGCCCGCTGATAAAGGGGGAAATATTGTAGTGATGGATAACCTGTTTTATGAGAATGTGTTTGAAAATTTTGAACAATAGGGACTGGTATAGGAAAATACTCATAATTGAGGATCTCCATATGACAGAGGATGTTTTGTTAGTTGCCATTGATGTGGAAGAGTAGGACCAACATCAATGGCAATGTAATAATGAGAATTCCAAGACATAATGTTTTCAGTCTCAATGGTACCTACAGGTGCAGGGAGTAGTTATGGGAACTTGTGCCCAGTCCTATGCTAACCTGTACCTGGGGGGTGTGAATGTAACCTGTTTTTGGATGATGCCTTGTAGATGTACTTGTGCCATGTGATACTTGTGCCATGTGGTACATTGATTACATTTTTATCATCTAGGAGAGAGGTAGTTCATTCTTGGAAGAATTTGTTGCAAAACTAAATACTAATATGTACAATCGTACAATCTTTCTTTAACTATACCCAGTAATTCAAATAAAATCTCCTTCTTGGATGTTGAGGTCTTCAGGTATGACAGTACAATAAGGAGTACACTGTATCGTAAACCAACAGCAGCTAGCGCCATTTTGCATGCTGACAGCTCTCATCTGGTCCCCCTTATATGTTTAAAACCATAAAGTCAATATTTACAAATTCAGCACAACTTTGCATATGATATAAGCTTCCAAAGGGAAGCAGACACTATAAAAATACATCTGTTGCACAGAGGCTATAGTCCCAAATGCCTTAATCATATCAAAATAATTGCCAAAAAGCATGGGAAATGTTGTTTTATTACAAACAAAAGCAATAAAAAATGTAAACTGTCAAATTGGTTACTAAATATACAAGATAACACAAACAGATTCACAATATCATACAAAAATATTTGCACTTATTATTGGGGGACCCCCATGCAAAACAGTTTGTTAATCAAACCCTGGAGATTGTGCATAGAAAGACATAGTTTTTGCAGGATAAACTGATACATAGTTTCTACAGAGGTGACAATAGAGGGGACCTGTGCAAGTATAAAGAAATTAACAAATGCCATAGTTGCTCATACTGTAAATTAATTGAGGGTAAGGAGGTTATTCTGCCCAATGGTATACTTTTTAAATCCAAACATTTTGTAAACTGCAAAGCAACAGTGGTAATTTACTTATTAACATGTGAACGTGGGGCTTATTATATAGGGAAGACAAAGCGCAAGTTCTGGCAAACAATACATGATCATATACTATATATGCAATTGAAATAGGGGACCTTAGCCTGCCTATGGGTTGACACACAGCAAAACATTGTAGGTATAATCCATCTTGTGGCCAATTTATGGCTCTTGATCATGTACACAGAGACCCAAGAGGAGGTGATTTAAATCGTAGATTGTTACAGATGGAGATTAAAGCTACAGATGGAGATTAAAGCTTAAACTACACAGTTCCCAGGGTTAAATGAAGCAGTGAGCTTTAAGCCCTTTTTATGAAAAGCTACCAACTTGGGCATATCAATCATAAAACATAAATTGCTAATTATGATGTACAGATTTGTATATATTTTTATGGATGTCTTATTCGTATAGAGACATTATGTGTGTGTCCTATGGGGCCTCTGAGACTAATGGGGGTTCTATGTGCAGGCCCTATAACTGTGTG